AAAAATAAATGTTTAAAAAAGAAGTTTGTTTACAAGTAATCTGTTTATAAAAGTTTACAACATTTGTTTAGAAGTTTTCATAAAGGTGTTTGTTTACAAGTAATTATTTTAAAATTAATTAGTATTTTAAAATTTCTTTTAATTTCAAATATGATACAAATCTATAGACAAGACCTTATATTATCAAACTCTGGGGTCCTCTGAATAGAAACAGTTTGAGAAGAGCTGAATTACAGTATTCCTGTTCAGTCTCTATTCAGTATGGTAGCCAGTAGCCTATTGCGTACTTGAAATGTGACTGAGAGTTTTAAATTTTTTTATATTGATTACATGTTGAAATGGCAATGTTTGGGGTGTATTGGGTTAAACAAAGGTGTTAATTTTGCTTTTTAAAATGTGGCTACAGGAAAAGTTTATATGTGTTGCTGTTATTATTGGACAGCTTTGGTTTGGAAAATAGTATTTAATTATTTTTCTTGGAAAATAGTATTTAGTTATTTTCTGTTATAGTTTATAACACAGATACATTAATTAGGTCAAGGGCAAAAAAAACGGTAGAGTACCCAGACTTTTACTTTCCCCTCTTTTCGTTGCCTTCATTTGTATTCTTCATTACTATTGTTGTTATAGCCTGTGCATGACATAAGTAAGTGTGTGGTGGTTGAACAGTGATGATCTTGTGATACTGGTTTGTGGTACTGTTTGTAGGAAAGTACTCTGTCACTTAATGGAACATCTTAACATTTTCCCTCCATTGCTCTCAAATGAAATTGCTACTAAATTTTGTTTTTGACTTGAGAACATTGTTATGAACTAGATCCATTGCCAGCATTCTCTTATGCAAAGCTGAGAGGTATGCCTCTTGTCAGACTTAATTACCAAGTTTGGTATTTTGTAACAGCTGTTGAGTGAGTCTGGAATAGTCTACCATACAAACACCAGTTGATTAGAAACATAGAAATGGAACAAGAATATTCCTACCAGTAGTAAATGAAGACATGGGCAATTTTTATTTTTGGCTGTGTTTAAAATGAAAATAGTTTTTGAAATGTATTTGATGCATTTATTTCTTCAAGGAGGATTGACTAGTAATATGAAATACTAGAAAGTGATACCTTTCTGGTTACTTTCAGCTTCATTTGTTTCTGTTTAAAAGGAGTTGCTTGTTTTTCCTCTGTAAATTTCATACACAGGTTTAGAAAGGATACTTACTAGTCTCTCAGATTTTAAATAAGAGGTAAGGAGTGTTATTTTTCAGCTATTGCTTTTAGTTTACTTACTTTGATTGCACAACACTGTTAAATTTATGGTTATGCTTTAGAATTGTGTGTAGTTTGAGTTTAAATTTTAATTATTCATCTGAACAAAATAGTATTGAAAAAAATTGTTTTAATTATAGAAACTTGTATAAAAGAGGTGGCTCTTAAATTTCGGTTATCAAAAACCACTTGTTGCTGGGCTGGTGGCACACAATGAGGATGAGGCAGGGGGATCAAAGTTCAAGGCCTGTCTGGGCAACTTGGTGAGACTCTCCTTCAAAAAAATAAATAAATAAAAAGGACTGGGGATGTTCAACTTGGTAGTAGCATACTCCTGGGTTCAGTTCCCAGTACTGCAAGGAAAAAAAATTACTTCTGTTAACAAAAGTATAGACATAGTGCCTGTTTTTACCAAATAGGTATTCTTGGAACTGTCAGTGGTACATTATTTATTGTAAATTGAGAGTGAGCTCTTGGAATTTTGTGTTTAGCATTATTTGAGTTGGTAAATAAAACTTGTAAGAAGTGAAAGAAGTAAGCATCGAAAAAGAAGTGAAATCAGTGGTCTCAGACCTTGAGCTGTTGTCTTACAGAGGAACTTTTAAAATTATATTTTATTATACTTAAGTTTTTGACATCCTCTGAACTATTAGCTTCATGAAGCTAGACAACCTATTCACACTGTATCCCAGATTTGTAGCACAGGGCAGACACTAGTGAAATACTCAGCAACCACTTGTTGATTATCCTTAAACTGTTAGTTCTCTGGTTGATAATTCTTAGATGTCATATACATATTTTATATTCTCATCCTAAATTGAAGATATAAATTTTCTTATAATATGTATTTATCTTACCAAATAAATTTTTAAAAAAGGCATTTCTAGGATATAATATGTTGCACATTGGGGAGAAGGGAAAGGTCAGAAATATCTAAAAAAACACACTTTAAAATTTTTTCTATAACAACAAGAAATTAAGGTTTTGAAAATATGCCTCAAACTACATAAGAATTTTTCAGGCACATAGTATGTGTTAGGCAAATTTCATTTTGTTCATAAATTAATTACTTAAAAATCTGGTAAATTACTAATACTGAATACTTCAAGTCTGATTTTAATATGGTAGAGTTTTAGGGTGTGTCTTAAAACAATTACATAAGGCATTAGTTTACACAGGATAGTTTATTAATAGCACCTAAGACAACAGCTAAATTGCAGCACCAAGCAGACTTTTAAAGAGAATGCTCCTAGATTAAATTTTTAAAACCCGTGTGCGCTTTCCAGGTTCAGTAGTATATGTGAATATTGTAGGGAGGCACTTTGAAAAAATTCCTGAGAATAGTAATTTATTTTATACTTACTACTAAGTTTCTTAAAAAATTGAGCTAGAAGGGCTGATTGAATCCTTTGCTTCAGTGAAGCTGCAGATAAGAGTAAGCAGGGTCACCTAAAGATAGATTTACTTAGAGGTTTGGCTGCCTCTCTGGAACCATTTAGCTTTGAGCAGATTTCCATAAATGGAAAGAGCAACTGGAGAGACCTAGTACCTTGGTTGAGAGTGTGGATGATGTGCAACAGGTGGTGGAACCGTCTCTGGATTTTTAAAATAAATGCTCCCCAAATGACTGGTGCTTAAAGCTGAAGCTTTAGCATTGGTGAATTCTGAAACCAAGTGGATTTTTCTCCCCAGTTATAAGTTTCCTGAAAATAAAGATTCATGTCATTAGTGAATAGAACTTGTGAATTTGAATATGATTTTATGAAACTTGTGTAAACATTTACTTTCAGTTTCTTGAGAGGACACCTTGAGAAAAATCTATCAAATTAAAAACTGCTACACATATATGTTTTAGAGCCTTTTACCAAGGAAAGTATTCAGTGTTTGAATATATAATGCAAAATTAATAAAACATTAAGAAGTTTGTTCCCCACTTCCCTTGGAAGGTCAGTGGGTTGTTCGACATTCAATACATAAAAGAACATTGAGAATTATAGCAGCTATAAAGTTAAGATAGCTCCCTTGACCTCAAGGAGCCTATTAGTATCTTGTGGGAGTGTTAAGTTGTCACTGTTTATCAAGTTATTTATATGCCAGACACTGTGCTAAGTTTTGTTTTTTTGTTTTTAATGGGAATCACATCATTTAATTCCCCAAACTGTTTGAGGTTGGGGCTGGGGTTGTGGCCCAGTGGTATTGCTTGCCTCACATATGTGAGGCACTGGGTTTGATCTTCAGCACCACATAAGAAAAAAAATAACAAACAAAATAATGGTATTAAAAACTATTTGAGGTAAGTAATATTCCTGGTTTTTGAAGAACATTGAGGCCTAAAGAGATTGTTACTTGCCTAAGTGGCAGAGACTAGAACAATTTCACAAGTAACTTAATATCAAAGCATGAAAAGAAGTGGTAGAAGAGACACCCAAAAGGTGATGGAATTAGAAAAGGCTTTGTGATGGGGGGATAACTGTTAAAGAAACTTAAACATCTCTTAAGAGAGCCAGGTGTGGTGGTGGGCCTCTGTAGTCCCAGCTACTTGAGGATGAAACAGGAGTATCACTTGAGTCCACAAGTTTGAGACTAGCCAGGGCCAATCTCAAAATAATGAAACAAAAACAGAAAAAATCTCAAGGTAAAACCTAGCAAAGTCAAGTGAAGTTCCGAGGAAAAGAACAAGGTTATTGTGAAGAAAGTTCCCAATTGTCCTATAGCTAAAGTTAATGGGTGTTGTTATACATCTCAGGCAGCCCTGCTCATTCAAGAGAGTCTCTGTAAGAATTAAACTAATTTATTAAAATCATTTAGAAATAAAAAGTGTTTCTGAGCAATTCTGTTAAGTATTTTCTTACTTGTAGTTTTTAGTGGCAATATATCAAAATATATAATTGACCTTGTAGGATTGTTAATCTACACCATCCTCTCCCTGCTTCCCACCCCCAAGTTAATTTTGGCCTAAAATTGATACAGACTTCGAATTTCAAGGGTCTTTTTTTTGGTTTCCTTTGGATAAGATCCAGAAACTTCTCATTAATTTTTCATCAGCCTCATTGGTTGCTTTTTGAATGCACATTCATTAAGTGTAAATACTACCTTATTTTGGTTTTAAGTTATTTCTATAAGTAGTTGATATAGATGGGTATATCAATAGAGTTGTTCACATGGAAGATAATTTAGAGTTAAAATGTCTTAAACAGTAAAGTGTGTAGTTCATTTTTAATTCAGTAAAACTTATTTTTCCCCCAGTGGAAGCCTCAGTTCATAGCAGTAATGCACACTGTACAGATAAGACGATTGAAGCTGCTGAAGCCTTGCTTCATATGGAATCTCCTACCTGCTTGAGGGATGCAAGAAGTCCTGGTATGTGAACTGTTCATCTTACTGTCATATTACTTCATATTAGAATGAAGACTTTTTAATGCCAGAGTATTATTGTTGGACTTCTCAAAGGTCTAATCTCCTTTTCCTTTTTAGACTGACAAATTAAAATTAGTGATAATTTTAATAAAATGTTCAAATATTACTTTAATTTGATAGAGATAGATACTTAATTCCAATTTATGATAAATGCTAAGAGCAGCTATACTTTTTAATTCAAATAGGGATCCCTGTGTTTTATTCAGGAATAGGAGAAGTAAATTATGGCTTATTGGTCAATATATTAATTCATGATAGTATATCTTTAAATTTGAAATAGAAATGTCAAATACAGATTAATCACGCATATTCAAAGAAAGCCAGAGCAACATTAGTGTGTAATACCATACAAGATAGCAATTTGTATGTACTGTTTTTATTGACCTAAAAACCAGGACTATTTCATTAAATATGAATTTGAAATATTGAAATGTAATATTCATTGATCTATAATGAACAGTCTTCTTTTTTATATTCTAAAATGAACTATAAGTGCATACTTTTTACTGAATACATGTATATTTATAAATCTGATAAATTTGCATATATTACCTAAAGAATCATTATGGATATATGGAAGGAAAGTAATTACTAAAGAACTGTTAGACCATAATTTTAAAATGTTTTCCCAGCTGTCAAAATTAATCAAAAGTTTATAGAGAGCTTAAAAGTGTGAAGAAGCCTGGTGTGGTGGTGCATGCCTATAATCTCAGCTACTTGAGAAGCAGAGGCAAGAGGTAGTGAAAATTTGAGGCCAGCCTCTGCAATTTATTGAGACCCTGTTTGAAATAAGAAAGGGCTGGGGATGTAGCTCAGTTGATAGAACACTCCTGGATGGTTCAATCCCCAGTAACACCAAAAAAAAAAAAAAAAAAAAAAAAGCAGATGATTGTTTACCACCTTTAAGATAATTTCTTTCACTTTTATTTTCTTGCATACTTTGGATCATATTGAATATTCAACAAATTAATTTCTTTAGTATTTAGTTTTTATCCTGCTTTGATTCATGGTAAACCTTATTTCTAAATATTGAACTATCCCTATAAGAAATATTAATGGGGGTGGGAAATTTTAATTTTTCAACTTTTTTTTATAGTGGAAGTGTTTGTTCCTCCTTGTGTATCAACTCCAGAATTTATCCATGCTGCTATGAGGCCAGATGTCATTACAGAAACTGTAGTGGAGGTGTCGACTGAAGAATCTGAACCAATGGATACCTCTCCTATTCCTACGTCACCAGAGAGCCATGAACCAATGAAAAAGAAAAAAGGTAGAGAATATTTATAAATTTCTGAGAAAACAGATGACTTTTTTTTTTTTTTTTTTGCTGGCATTTTTTTTCTCCCCTTTAAGGGACACACACAAAAATATAATATATGCTATCTAGTCTTAAAGACAAATTGGGGATGGGGTTGTGGCTCAGCGGCAGAGTGCTCACCTAGCATGTGCGAGGCCCTGGGTTCGATCCTCAGCACCACATAAAAGTAAGTAAATAAAATAGAGATATTGTGTCCAACTAAAAAATAAGTATTTAAAAAATTGAGTTTTTAGTTTTTATTATTTTTAAAAAATTTGAATGGCTCTACTTTGGTGCCATAAGTTTTTGGACTTGAGCCTCACTGATGACAAACTGTTAATTTTGTGTTTTAAACATTTATACTGTTTAAAACAAGTTTGTATTTAGGCTCTAATGGTACTTATCTAAAAAGGAGCTTTTAAGCCTGACATGGTGGTATATTCATATAATCCCAGCTACTCAGGAGGCTGAGGCAGGAGGATCGCACGTTTGAGGCCAGTTTTGGCAACTTAGTGAGAACCTGTTTCAAAATAAAAATTTTTAAAAAGGGCATCTCCAATCTCACAAGGAAACAGAGTATACCAGTATTCTTTCCTATTGAAACTAAAGGAGCCAAAATTTGAAAGGAGTAAAATCCTAAGTTAGGTACTCATATAATTTTAGTTTCTTCCCTATGTCTTTGCATTTAAATAGAGGGGGAAAAGAAAGCAAAAATAAGGTAAAGGTGTTAGAAATAATGGTATTTTCTTTTATTCATTAAACCCAGTTTGTATGATATAAATCAGGAAATAATATCTTTGAAAGCTCTTCTTGAATGACCATTTAAAAATTACATATAACTATCCTATACTCATTGCCATTAGGATGTCAGTGAATCATCAGAGTGCCATTACTTTTGTTTTTTCAAGTACATTTTATTTTTTAGTAGCAGAGCTTTTTTATTTTCAGTGCCTTTAATTACTAATGTATGTAGTATATTTCCAAGAAAGGATAGGCTTCAGTGTCAGTGTTTTAAAAGTTAATTTGATAGAGCCCTTTTTCCTACTGAGGAGTACTCTGTTAATTTCTTAAGGAACCTGATTTGGAAATGCTACCTTCTAAGAAAAGAAATTAAGCCAACTGTTTTATTAGACAGGATTTCATTATGTGGCCCAGGATGGTCTTGAACTTGTGTGGTTAGCTGGTCCTCCTACTTTAGCATCCTGAGTAGCTGAAACTGCAGGTGCATGGCACCACACCTGATTTAGCCTCTTTTTCACCTTGGGCTTTCATGCTTGAATTGAGGAGATGGTGAAGATAAGTATTATTTGAGAAATTAAGCTTTATTCTAATAAGGACACCAGAAAACTTGCATTCTGGTTTTTGTAAATGCAGAGTTTTATTTATTAGTTACCAAAATGAAATCCTAGAAAATATCTATTTTATAATACATATTAAGACAATTTAGGTCTTTATGTGGTTAATCTAAATAAGCCTTGCTAATGGAGAAGAGAGAATGACATCAGAAATCCTAACTGTGTGACTGTCACCAAATCAGTAACTTTTTTAAATCTGAAAACATGATAGACTTGAGTATTTTCAACCTTCCTTCAGACTTCCTCTCTGCCAGTAGTCATTCATCTGTGCTGAGGATCTAATGTAACTCATTTTAGATTTATGCCTTCTTTAGTGTAGATTTAGCCCTTGCTTTTCTCTTCATTGTAGATGCTAGTCTGTCTGAGAGCCTAATGAAAGAAATGAGGAGAAACAAAAGAGAAAGGCACAGACATTTATTAGACAGACATATAAAACAATCACCTGGAATTTTTTTTTTAAACCCTTAAAATATATGTGCATGTTGAGGAAGGGGAATTTAAACACTTTTGCTTAAATTCTGGTGAATCATCTGTTTCAGAGCAATAGAGAGTGTTTAATATTTTTTATTTTTCCTCATTTGAGCTCAGAGGACTTTATAGATCATCATATCCTCTGCAATAAGTAGAGCTGTTTCTAACAATCCCATAGAAGAGAATACAAAAGCCGGACATGGTGGTGCAGGCCTGTAATCCTAGTGGCTGGGGAGACTGAGGCAGGAGGATTGTGAGTTCAGAGCTGGCTTCAGCAACTTAGTGAGGCTTTGCCTCTAAATAAAATATTTTTAAAAAGGGTTGGGGATGTTGCTCAGTGTTTAAGCGCCCTGGGTTCAATCCCAGGTACCACAAAAAAACATTATACTAGGACTTGTTGATATTGCTACATTAATGTAAAATAGTTAGCAGATTGAGGCTCTGACCATAAAAATAGATTGGTAGTATCTTATTTGCTGCATATCTTGAAGAGGAGCTAGCTGCTTCATTTAAAATTGCAGAAGTATTTTAAATGTTGCTTTTAGAAGCAACTATTTACATACATATACTGAGTATTTTAGGCCATATGTTAATGTGTTGTTAAATTAATAATATGTTATCAGAGAGTCAGCTAATCATACTTCTGTTATTTTTCCTGTTTTCGATATCTTATTTTTTTCAGTTGGCCGTAAACCAAAAACCCAGCAATCACCAATTTCCAATGGGTCTCCTGAGTTAGGTATCAAGAAGAAACCCAGAGAAGGAAAAGGTAATTTGGGAAGGATTATTTTGGAGATGAGCGTTTTCTTTCTCCCCCAGTTAGGTAACATGTTTACATTAGTGGTTTAAAAAAAAAAAATCATTTCTACTACATGTGTATATGGGACTACAGTTGCTAGTAGTGTTTCTAAATTAGGGATGGATCAGCATTACCTGGGGAGCCTTATCAGAATATCTAGGCCTGGTCCTCCCTGTCATCCCCAACCTCCACTGAGATTCTATAGCCATAGCAACACTGGGGGTAGTATCAAGAGGTCCTGACATCCTTAGGACAGCTTGATGCACATCCTTCTTAGGGGCGCTGGTTTTGGGGCGTGTGTGTATATACTAGCACTCATCCCCACACAGAGCCACTTGAATTGAAAGAGTTTACAACTAAGACTTGTTTCTGAAACATTCTTTTTTAACTGGTTTAAAGCTATACAAGGCTGAATTTAATTTTCTCATCAGCAAATTTCAGTCATGAGACAAAACTTAAGATTTGAAAAACTTGGGCTGGGGATGTGGCTCAAGCGGTAGCGCGCTCGCCTGGCATGCGTGCGGCCCGGGTTCGATCCTCAGCACCACATACAGACAAAGATGTTGTGTCCGCCAAAAACTAAAAAATAAATATTAAAAATTCTCTCTCTCTCTCTCTCTCTCTCAAAAAAAAAAAAAAAAAAAGATTTGAAAAACTTTTTGCTTGAAAATATGTGTATCCTCACTAAAAATAAAAAACTGCAATAAGCTTCCCCCACTCTGTTTTCTTAATTCATTGAGTAAAATGACTTCAAGTAACAGACTAAGATTTGATAGATAAATTATAATTCTGTAGAAAAATTTTGTGATGACCTATTTTTACCAGTCAAATCCTCCTCCCACACCCCTTGTTTTTGCGGTGTTGGGAATGAACCCAGGGCCTCTCATATTCTAATAAGCGTGCATTCTACCATACAGTTATACCCCCAGCCTGAAAATTGCTTTTCATTAAAATTTCAGTCTTAAACTTGAGGCAGATGTTACAATGTGGACACTTGTTTTAAGCAAACCTGGATTCAAAATCTAGCAGTGTTTCCTCCTTTACAAAATGACATAGGGTTTACCTGAAAGAAGTCTTCCCTTTCTGAATCTTGTTTTCCTTAAAACCAAAACTAGGATTGTTAATTAACTTGGATGGAAACTTGAGTGGAGTTTTTAAAGATAACCAAGCAATGTTGATGAATTTAATTAATTCAACAAGCATTCAAACAAACTCCTGCTATGTATTAGGCATTGTCTCTGCTGTATAAAAATTTCTTCCAGCATAAAGCCTTTGCTCACTTTTGCTATGTCTGCTTTAAGGACCTGATAATCCCCTGGCTGTGAATAGAATAAAAATAAAATAAAAATGCCCCCAGCAACAAATTTTAATGTTGTTGATACATGGTTCATCGGTTGCTAGGTTAATGATGCTGATGTAATAGAGCTTCAGAGATAGTTAATGTAATTTTGTGAAAATTGAGGGTCAGTCTTTTTAGGTTGAGAGATGCATACTTGGTTCCATTCTGGAACTATGAATTTGTCTAATTTTGAGGGAAATCCAGATTAAAAATTAAATACCAGAGAAAGAGTGTCAGTGTGTCCATTAAAGGAGAATTGGGTTGGCAGCTCCGTTTGGAAGCTTCTCAGGTAGCCTGTAGCTTGGGTCTGGGTTTAAGGTTATGGAGACTGCTTGGTGGCCCAGTGGTGGTGTATGTATTATCTTCTCCTTAGGACGCTTCTGTTCTTTCATCAATTTCAGAACCTCTGCTTCTGAAGGCTCCACAGGGAATAAAAGAAACCTGAAAAGCCTGCTTTTCTCATGACCCCTGCCCACTTCTCTTCCCTTTTCCAATGGGTGGGCGGGGTTTCTTTCTTCTTTTTGGGATTAAGTTCCTTATTTTATTTGCCCAGATTCCTTTCTTTTATGCAAACTTCAGCCAATTTCTAAGTCTTTGTGATGTTTTGCCAGCCTGCTTTATTCCCATTCCTGAGGTTCCATTGTTCTTTGTGATTCATTTGGAATGTAATTATGCATTGCCTTCTGATATACTGTTCCTGTAGTGTTGTTTAACTTATCTACTTTTTGTTTCTTGTCTATTAAATTGTAAATACCTTGAGGCAGAAACCAGGTTTTAAATTTTATTCTGTATCCTCTATTGCACTTAAGCACTATATGTGATGAATAATGTATTTCCTCAGTTTCAGATTTTAATATTAGTTGTGCGATCCATAGCTAATGGTGTAGCTGACATTTGATAAATACTAATTTTAGGGATCACCCTATTTCTTTCTAGTAGTCCATTTAAGAAGCTCATGTTTAAGACTGAAGCACAAATGTCTTTGAGTTGTTCTTATATTACTTATTTTTGTTAAACTGGTATAATCAGCAGAAAAAGATGAGGAGTTTTTTTTAAAAATCTGGTTTCAAAGGCAAGAATTTGTTGCTGGGTTCCGTGACACACACCTAAAATTCTAGCTACTCAGGAGGCTGGAACAGGACGATTTCAAGTTTGAGACCAGCCTTAGCAACTTAGTGAAACCCTGTGTCAAAATAAAAAAAGAACTGGGGATGTAGGATCTTAGGATCGAAAAGATCCTAAGACTGATGCCAAAAAGTTTCTCACATTTTATTATATATCGCTGGCCTATTTAATAAAACTAATAGTGCCTTTTGATTAGTTTTGATATGGAATTTAGTCTTGTATAATACAATAAACACAGGTATATATAAACTTATTCAGATTTTAGACCTTTGCAAATTAATAAATTTGATTGTTTAATTCAGGTTAACTTTTGTGCTAAGAATTATGTCTTTCTCTTCACTAAACTCAAACTCTAGAATTCAGTGATACATGATAGTACAAAACCCAGGACATTTATTTTATTAGAATCATAATTGGAAACTGCAGTTTTTAAGATCAGCAAGCAAGTATATTCAGGATTCTATTTTATATTTATTTTGGAAGGGGTAGGTATTGGGGATTAAACCCAGGGACATTCTCCCACTGAGCTACATTCCCAGCCCTTTTTATTTTTTCATTTTAAGACAAGGTCTCACCAAGTTGCTGAGGCTGGCTTTAAATTTGCATCTCCTGCTTCAGCCTCCCACATTGCTGGGAATTAGAGTTGTGTGCCACAGAGTTCCGGCAGGCATTCTAAATTATAAAAAGGATACTTTATTTGCCTTTAATTGTGTTAATTGTTTTTGCCTTGTTTTTAAAGGAAACACAACCTATTTGTGGGAGTTTCTTTTAGATCTACTTCAAGATAAAAATACGTGTCCTCGGTATATTAAGTGGACTCAGAGAGAAAAGGGTATATTCAAGCTTGTGGATTCAAAGGCTGTCTCTAAGCTTTGGGGAAAGCATAAGAACAAACCGGACATGAATTATGAAACTATGGGACGAGCTTTAAGGTAAGAACACAAATGAGCTAGTTTTCAAACACAACTTGTATATATCTCTATATTGTCTGTTAGCTGTTTAAGAGCTCAAAATCCCTTATATAACTTTAGAGGGTATTTTAGAGGAGTTTCTGAGATTGGGAAGTAGGTAAAGAGCGAGGAGTTTGATCCACATGCCTATAATTTCAGCATCATTGAAAACTACAGGGAAAAAAAAAATCCTTTTTACAAGTTGTAAGCCTTTAAAAAAATTAACCCCCCTCAAAAAGTTTCGAAAGTTACTTAGCTTTTTAATTTCTTGCAATTTTGTTATAAATGGATTTCTCTTGACACGAAATATTTTCATAAGTTTTGTCTGTTTGAGAAATCCACAAAATTTTCAATGTGGTTGGCATACTAAGGGTATTTATAAACAAACACATTGGGTATTATGTGATAGTAGTCACAAATCCCATAGATTCATCTCACTTAGTAAGTGTGACTCAAGTAATTTGTTCATATAATTTAACATTGTTTTCATAACCTTTAAAAGAGTTGTGGCTGAGCATGGTGGCTTATTCCTGTAATCTTATCAGCTCTGGAGTCCTGAGGCCTGAGGCAGGAGGATTGTAAGTTTGAGGATAGCCTCAGGAACTTAGCAAGACCCTGCCTCAAAATAAAAATGGGGATATAGCTCAGTGGCAGAATGCCCCTGTATTTAGTCTCCATTATTGCCCCCTTCCTGCATAAAAAAGAATCAAATTAGCTAGCTGTTTAACAGATCTCACCATTATAGGGCCTATGGTATCACGTTCTACTTCATTTCTGCTGCATATCTGAAACCTTTTGAGCAGTCCATGCCTTAAGCTCTTCCTTCTCTTACAGGGATAGGAGAATGTATGCTGGTGTTTGCTGTGCATGTTTTTGTATTTTTGGATAGGGGGCTGATAATACACTTGATTTATTTAGTAATTTTTCCCCTTTTCAGATACTACTACCAACGGGGAATTCTTGCAAAAGTTGAAGGTCAGAGGCTTGTGTATCAGTTCAAGGATATGCCAAAAAACATAGTGGTCATAGATGATGACAAAAGTGAAACCTGCAATGAAGATTTAGCAACAGCTGCTGATGAGAAATCATTAGAACGAGTGTCACTGTCTGCAGAAAGTCTCCTGAAAGCAGCAACTTCTGTTCGTGGTGGAAAAAACTCTTCTCCTATAAACTGCTCCAGAACAGAAAAGGGTGTAGCTAGAGTGGTGAATATCACTTCCCCTGCTCATGATGCCTCCTCCAGGTCTCCGACCACTACGGCTTCTGTATCAGCAGCAACAGCTCCAAGGTGAGGGGCATATAGTTACTTGTAACATGTACTGTTTTTGGAACGTATTATAACATTCTACAAATCCACTGTTGTTAGGACTTTAAAAAGTGCTTGGTATTTTAAATACTCTTGTTGTTAAAGGAGATGCCTCAAGTAACTTGAATTGTTTTTTCTGGTTGCATAGACGGACCTTTGTTTTTTCCTTTTCCACGATGCTAGAGTTGAACCCAGGGCCTTGTACATACTAGGCAAGAGCAACCCTGGATGGACCTATAATGTGGGCTTTAATTTTTTCTTAATTTGTTTTATTGTATTTCATATTTTAAGCTTGGATTGCCAGTTTATCTGTAAAATTTTATACATTTTGGAGTTTTATTCATCTTTTTGCACAGACTCATTTCCTAATTAAGCATCAATTATAACCAACTTCTTTCTTAATTTACTAGGACAGTTCGTGTGGCAATGCAAGTACCTGTTGTAATGACATCATTGGGTCAGAAGATTTCAACTGTGGCAGTTCAGTCGGTTAATGCAGGTGCACCATTAATAACCAGCACTAGTCCAACAACAGCGACTTCTCCAAAGGTAGTCATTCAGACAATCCCTACTGTGATGCCAGCCTCTGCTGAAAACGGAGACAAAATCACCATGCAGCCTGCCAAAATCATTACCATCCCAGCTACACAGCTTGCACAGTGTCAACTGCAGACAAAGTCCAATTTGACTGGATCAGGAAGCATTAACATTGTTGGAACCCCATTGGCTGTGAGAGCACTTACCCCTGTTTCAATAGCCCATGGCACACCTGTAATGAGACTATCGGTGCCCACTCAACAGGCATCTGGCCAGACTCCTCCTCGAGTTATCAGTGCGGTCATAAAAGGGCCAGAGGTTAAATCAGAAGCAGTAGTAAAAAAGCAGGAACATGATGTGAAAACTTTGCAGCTGGTGGAAGAAAAACCGGCAGATGGAAATAAGACAGTGACCCACGTGGTGGTTGTTAGCGCCCCTTCAGCTCTTGCCCTTCCGGTAACTATGAAGACCGAAGGACTAGTGACATGTGAGAAATAAAGAGCAGCTCCACTGTGGACTTTTAGACTGTTAGTGGTAGTACTGACATAAACGTTTGCAAGGGAAGTCATCAAGAAAAGTCAAAGGAAGACTTTAAAACATTTTTAATGCTTATAAGAAAACAATCAAACTTACTGGAAATAAATTACCTATCCCATGTTTCAGTGGGAAATGAACTACACATTGAGATGCTGACAGAAAACTGCCTCTTACAGTAGGAAACAACTGAACCCGTCAATAAGGAAAAGGATTGAAAGGGACCAAGCAGCTCACTACAATATCAAGTTACACTAAGACTTGGAACACTAACATCTGTAAGAGGCTATATAGTTTTCAGTGGGGAGGGATTGGGATGGGTGATCTCATTGTTACATAGAGCAATTTTTGATGCATTTTATATGCATACCAGCAATTATTACTGTGTTCGCACAGTACTCACTTAACTGGTGCTATGTGAAGACTCTGCTAATATAGGTATTATAGAATGTGAATTGAAGAATGGATCCAAAAGCTTCAGAAAGAGGATAGCAAAAAAGATCTAGTGCGACTTTTTTTTTTTTTTTTTTTTT